CACATTAATGTTCAGCTCAGCAATCTTATCTGCTGACTGCGTTTCCACCATTAAGCACTGAAATGTAATAGTAATGGGCTGATACATTCTAAGACCTATGCTGCAAGCTAAGTGATGAGTGAAAAGTGTCCATAGCTGTTCATGGGGAAAACAGCTTGGTTCCTTTCAGCTTATTTCAGCAGATCTGGCAAATTCAGCTGATAACTTTGGCAACCACAGTGTCAATGCAGGGATGTAAAAAACTAATTTTTGACACATTATGGTATTAATGAAGAGACTAGCTAATTTAGCTGCTGTGACATCTCGAAGGATTAGTGAAGCCAACCTTTTAGCAATGGTTAGTCACTATGCCCACAAGACATTAGATCATCTTGATTTCAGGAGAGACAATTTGTGTCAAAGTTTGCCACCCATGCAGGATTTCTGCATCTGACAGTAATGTTTAACTACAAAGTTATGGCTTGATTTTCAGCAACAGCTACTGATCACTATTGATAATTCCCAGACAAAAAGTTTGCAGGCTAACATTAGTGGATCATAGTGTGGTTAACAGTGAATTAAGTGCAAAGAGCATTTCACTACCTCCAAGTGGTAGACTTTCTCACACATCTGAAATAAGAGTTGTCACTGTTAGCTAAGTACTGACAAAATGAATGATCTTTTGATTTCTCATAGAAAGAAACAGAAAAGTCTGGTACGTGCCTGAAACGTGCACCACAGACTGTAACTTTCCAAGACAGAAAGGTTAATGATACTGGTGTGGCAGATGAGCTGCACTAGCCAGCAGTAAATAATGGTCCACAGCAGATGAAGGAAGAATCTGAAGTGCTGGAATGGGCTGGCAGACAGACAAGTGCCCAAGAAACATCAGTGCATTTGCTGCCAAGGCAAAAATGGTGGGCAGTCGGAGTTGGAAGTATCAGTTAGTTCTAGTTAGAAGATGAAAGGTAATTTTCAATTGTTAAGTCAATTAAAAGTTCATATGAGCATTTGGGCTGAAACCTGGAACAGAAATTCAGCCCTAAGTGATGACTGTAATCCAGATCCTGAAGTCACTGGGGCCTTGGTTTCCATGGATGTGCATTTCCCACCTCAAAGACTGTCCCACAGGAGAAGGGAAGTACTACAATTTTTTGTTTGAGATTGATTCTTTACGAGACAGCGCTTTTTAATTTTTAGTCACTAAGTCATAATAAGTCACTTTTTGATTTAAGTCACTCAGTCACTAAAGTACCAATACACTGAAAGTGTCAGAATTTCAAATTAAATTTACTGCTGTCAATTTTTAAATTTTCTTTTAACCGTGCACATTTTGAATACTGTGCATTAGAGCATGATAAAATTTACTTGAAATGGTTATCTTTACAGAAGTCAAGATAGTTATTAAGTTGTAATGAAACTCCAATTGCTAAACACAGCAGATATACCCCTTCAGCTTCTGTGAAAACCACAACTCGATCTTCATACAGTTTCATCTAGCTCAAAGTTCAATCCCTTTCTGCAGGCCAGAATTCAATAAATTCGTTTCTAGCAGGACTGTCAATGATTGCTGTCTTTAATGCTAGAGGACAATGGAACTTACATGAGATAGGAAATAACTATAAATGTTAATTATCTTGCTGCAAATGGGAAACCAGATGATATCTGGTTATTGCATACAGGAAAAAAGTATGAGAGCTACTTAGCTTATAAATACCAGATATATACATCAGGAGGAAGCTGATGAGTTACAAAAAGACAAATGCAGCTCTGTACTAACAAGGGAACAAGAGAGACAGAAATAGAGTATGTGAAATCATTCACAGAAGGACTATTTTTCTATCAGATAATTTGTATTTCCCTCTAGCAGACAGATTATAGAATCACAAAGTGGTTGAGGGGCTCAGATTGGTAGGATTTTCTGAATCCATCAGCTCCAGTCTGTGCCCAAGCAGGGAGAGCCAGAGCAGGATGCCCAAGATCACATCCAGACAGTTGTCAAAGATCTCTAAGGAGGAGACTCCACAACATCTGGACAGCTTGTGCCGGTGCTCTGTCATTTGCACAGCACTGAAGTGCTGCCTGGTGTTCAGAGGAAACCTCCTGTGTTTCAGTTTGTGCTCACTGCCTCTTGTCCTGATACTGGACACCACCAGGAAAAGCATACCTCTGTTTTCTGCACTATTGCATCAGATGTTTGTACACTTGGACCAAAGATCCTCCTGAGAATGCTCTTCTCCAGGCTGAACAGTCCTCGCTTTCTCAGCTTCTTCTCACAGGAGAGGTGCTCCAGGCCCTTCACTACCTTGGTGGCCCTGCATTGTCCTCTTTCTAGTATGTCCATGTCTCTCCGTAAAGGGGTTCCCAGATCTGGACACAGTGCTCCAGATATGAGCTCTTCACTGCTGAGTAGGGGTAAAGATCACACCCTTGGACAGGTGGCTCAATGTGATATGAGGTCGGTCCCACAAGCAGCATCCAAAAAAATTATGGTGTCAAAGCAAAACTGATCTGCACAAAAGATTTGAAGCTCTCTGACAAACAGTGTTAAAGTGTGTTTATGTGTGATGCATTCAAGTGTGTACAAGCATGCTCATGTGTGTTCAGGTCTGTGGTGCGCTCACAAATGCATGTGTATAGCGTGTACATGTGTGTTCAAGTATGTTCAGATGTGCAGTGCTTAAATGTGCATTCACATGTGTCAGGCATGTATGTGTTCACAAACATATGTTCACACATGTTCACACATGTGTTCACGTGTGGTGTCTGAGCATGTCCACACATGTGTCCACACAAGTTCAGATGTATGGTATGTACATGCATGTTTACATGTGTTCAGGTGTGTAGCATACGCATGTGTGTTCACACGTGTCTGCCTTGGTTTATACACAGTCACAGTTTTCCTAATTTTCTTTACTACAATAAAACCAAAAGATTAGGACCACCATGGCAATGTGGCAAAATGCAGAGCATCAGCCCCTCGTAATTCCCCACAGCACCGTAGAAAACCCTTCAGCTGTGTCTTGCAAACATTTATGCACAAGCTGAACTTCATGTACTGTGATTAATTTCCCTGACACCATGCGGGTTTCATTGCAGCACATTAAACCAAACACAGACTTATATACTTTTAGGATCAGGACCTACTTAGTGCTACTCAGCTGTGATTTAATGCATCTGTACTTAATGTGCAGCTTACTAAATGTGAGATAATTCTGTGTTTTCATACAGTTTTTGCATATTTTTCTCCAGAACAGCATGTATGTTGCTTCAACATTACTGTTGAAAGTGAAATACTCTGTAGTGACTAATGTTTATTTAAACAATTATAATACTGTCTACTGCAGCTGGGAACGGAGGTACAGTAGCCTCATATTTAGAAGCATGGCCTTTTATATAACATTAGAGAGCTCTAGTGGGCATGTTGCCCATTTCTAATTCTCTAGTGGCTTCTATTTTTCACAGGCATTAATGTTCTAATCACAATGTATCTTTATAACATTTTCCTTGTGCTGATCAATTATCATAAAATCAGTGATTATTTAATACATCCTCCCACATATACTATACATATACTAGGCTATTCAAATAACCTCCGGTATAAGAGATAATGGGGCATTTCTAGTCATAAAATAGTGCCACACATGTAAAAAACATAGTGAAGGAGAACACTGGAAATGTATAATAAAAGCAGAAAAATCCCTTCTCGTGAATGGCAGAAGCATTTTTGTTTGGATTATTCTTAGTGCAGCTATCATGATGTGGATGAGTATCAATGTTTGGAACGTAAGTAGGTAGTCCAGTATCAGACTTTACAACCTTAGATGTAACGCACATACATATGCAGGCACAAACCCATGCACAGGTTAAGATTGCTATTACAGCACTTAAGCTTTGCAAAGTTGGAGATGATGACCTTTGCTTATGACCTTATGACCTAGGCAGGCAAGCCCTAAACAACAACTCATGCTTTGAAGCAATATCATTCCAGGTATGACAGAGATGGGTGGTGATATCCTTTAGTTGCACGCCCAATGCTCATCAGCTGCACAGGGAATCTCTGGATTGAATTCTCAGAGAGACGTATTGGACTTCCAGGGAAACTGTATGTACTCTCCCACCAAAAGAACAAACAAACAAACAAACAAACAAACAAACAAACAAAAAACGGAGGCAAAAAGATGGCTGAAACACTTAAAGACCTAAATGTACTGATGAAAAATATTAAGTACTACAGCTGCTATGTGATGTGATGGTATCACAGTACCATCCAGGTATTTTTTTCAGTTTTTTCACTGCTAATAGCTGGTTCAAAAATCAATATTTTATGTGTTCAATTCTACAGATTGTCATAGGTTTGAAGAGCGGTAGCTGAAGTTAGGAATACTCTTTTCTAGCTATGTGTAGTTAATTGTTTTTAACTCTTCATGGTACTTTACATTTCATCTTCAAACTGAGCATGAAATAATTTCTATGTGACATTTATTGTCCAATAAGGAACTTCAAGCTCTTTTAAAAAATAGTTAATGTCTTTTCCAGCTACAAAGATTGAACTGCACAGCTAAATTAAAATAATGGAATTTTTAACCCTTATTTATTCTTAAAACTTTACACATTCTTAGATTTCAAAATCTGGTTATGTTTTTTACCAAAACAAAAGCAGTGAATATGTAACAACACTGAATGCTGTTTCTGACCCATCATTTGTTTTCTCCCAAGACAGCACTTGGTGCAGAGGACTGGCCAAAGACCACTGAAATCAATGGAAAGGCTACCAGTGACTTTGATGGAATATGGACTGGGTTTGAGTATAAGACTAATGAATTAATTGACTCATTACAAAGTCTGAATTTCTCTTTGACAGATGTAAAGCAGTACATTAAACAAATCGCAGACGTTTTAACCCCACCCTTTCACTCCCAGGAATTCAGACTCTTTTTTTCTGTTAGCTCCATTAAGGAGCCCCAGCACTTGCACAAGAAAAATGAATGACTGAAGTACATATAATTATTTGTACTTACAAGTATCTGGTTTGAGCTGATTGTTGGTAATTCCAAAGTACTGGGGATTTTCAATGACAGGAATCTTTGTCATCCCAATGATGACCGCATCAGGACCTCCCTCAGAAGAGGATGGAGTGTTACTGCCATTTGAGATGTGATGGAGAGGACTGGCTGAATCGTCGTCATTGCTGATAACTGAAGAAGGACCTAGAGTTAGAAAAAAAGATTTGCCTTAACTCAGCACGTTTCCTTTCCCTCAGACCATTCTTTTTTATTTACTTTTGTCAACAGTTTAACCTCCATCCTGATAGTCGAACACTCTCTTTATGTGCTTTGGTGATCTGACCTCATGAATTTTATATGTCTGGGTGGAGATGTACAAATGGTAGGCTGTTAGGAGTTGGAATGTGAAGCAAATTTTTGCACTGGTAGATCACCTAGACTAAATGTGTCAGAATTTAGTATAGTGTATTACTGGGAAAGTTCTCCAAATTTGATGAATTCGTTCTATCATTCACTGAAATACACATTAACTTTTTCAACTTAAGCTCTTCTCAGATCACCCAGCAGTAATGCCTTTTTCACTGACTTTGGGAAATGCCTGTCTTCTCTTTGATGTGGTATTAAAACAAGAAAAAAAATGGAGACGGGCTCACCCTAATGGGGGAATTTCTGTCATTTCTGAAAAGCAAAATGGCTGACGGTCAAAACTGTGTGGACAGTGTTGACAGTCACAGAAGGTCACATGCCCAAAGTAGTAGAAAAGACATATCACATCCCACTGTGAAATACGGAGTCATTGCACTCTGGCTTCTCCTGTCCAGAACATTGTTCTGGCTCTTCCAGCCCCATCCATACCTGAGACGAGTCACATTCCAGAAAGAGGCTTATTTTGGTCAGTGATTTATTGAGAGTTTTGTTTTATTTTCACTTCATGATTTATGTGCCATGGAGATAAAACCTTATAACCACTCGAAAAAAATGCCTAGCTGTGTTCCACTTGTGTAAGCCACTGAGACTTCTGATCTAACAGCAAGATCAGTGCAGATACCATTTGAACTCTTGTGATCTAACCCTGCTATCTAAATTCTCCATAACTTCCAGTTTACTGCCAGTATTCAAAGAAAACCAGTAACCAACTAGCAGTAAGGATATTTTGTCTAACCAGACAACTGAAGAGCCAGTAGAGAACAAGAACTCCACATTTCAGATAATTCTCCGTCCAAATTAACCGGTGATTTTGAGGAGGTATTCGCATCATCTAATGTGAGCAATCAATAGATGATGCTAGAAACAGAATGATTCACTCTCTTGATGTGCCTATCCTGGAAGGACATCCTCAGAAGACACCTTTGTTTGCTTCCACCCTACCTGCTAAAGAAGGAAGTAGCAGAGAGGAGAGTGGAGAAGACTAACAGATATGTTTACCCTGGGACATGAGCCACCCCTTATCAAAGTGTCCCAAACTGGATTTTAGGTTGGACAGAACAGTGCAGAGTTACAAAAGATATAAGCACCCCAGCACAAAGATGGCATCTGTATCAGTGGTAGAGATGAAGGATACAAAAACAGAGAAACTGGGAACCAACAAAGAGGATCTGAGAGAAGATGAGAAGGATTTACCTCAGCATAGGCACAAATAAGGAGCAAGGGCAGGCCCAAGTACATCAGCCTAGAAAAATCTGCTTTAAAGAAAGGAAATTTAGCCTCTTTTAATGTTTTGTGGTGCACTATATCGTAACAAAAACACTTTATCATTTCATAGTATGGCTCACAGGAATAAAATAATTTGGCATGTGGCTATTCAACCCTTGCTTTAGAGATTCGAGCATACTCCCATGCCTGTCCTGCTTTCCTTTCTCCCCAGTTGGCTTAATGGTTCATGAGGGAAATGTTCTCATAGTTTGAAAAAGTATTTCTCTCCCTCTAGCCTGAAACATTAGAGGTAATTTTTCAAAAGCCTTGCACTTCACTGGAAAGTCATTGTTGACAAATGTAAGTGAAGCCTAGATCTCTGCAATTTATCAAGTGAAATACTAATACCAAGGCTGTTTTTGTCATTACCGATCACTGAGATTGATTCTACTAGGAAAACTGCCAGGATTAAGAGTTTTTGGTGAAGATTTCTCTAATGAACTGCAGAGCCTAGCAAAGTGTGGGAAATGGTCCCTCAAATGACACACAAAATACTTACGTAAAGTCACAATGTATTTTTCGGGTGTGTGAGTTGTGTTTAGTGCAACGAGAGTGCAAGTACATTTAAAACCATATGCAATTTTTTTGTTGAGATTGTCCTAAGGTGTCTTAAATATCTGAATGCCAAGCTAATGGCACCAAAAAGCAAGCAGGCAAATACAAGTTGTCTCGGGAAAATGCAGTTCTTTTATACTTACAGAAAACTTGTATGAGGGTCAAATCCCTTCTCTTATAGCAAATGGACAAATGCTCCAGCCTCTGTAATTTCATAGAGGTGATGGGAAGGAATCACATATTTCTAGATGTTTGAGCAATATAATGAATAGAATCTCATTCTGTTGTCATATTATTTCTTCACTACTCTAAGACCCCATTTTGCACAGCAAGCTATTTTTTTTCAGTCAGTGTAAACTGCAAAGAGCTGCAGGTGAAAAGTAGCCAATTGTTCTATAAATCTATTTATTCAATTAAGATAACTGCTATCAAATTGTCATCCCTGTGGCTTGAAGGTGGTTCCACATGTATTAGACTCTCTGATGTAGATGAGGAAAACCTGGAAAACTAAATGATTCCTCCACAGTAGGAAACAGTTTAAGACAAAGTAAAATGTAGGAAATTTGTGCTGTGTCATTTGTTGTCCATTGTCATTTATTAGTAATGAATTAGCCCGTGCAATTGTCTTTGGAAACAGTTGTTTGGATTAAAAAATCCTATTTCCTTTTACTGTAAATTTCTTCCACTTAAGCCAAATGCAACACAGCCGATGGAAATTTTTGTCTACTAGAGGCAGTTGAGCTCAGATGCTTTTAAAGAGCCTTTTTCTGTTAGCATCTTTTAGAGAATATGAACAAACTGACAGACAAACTGTGTCAATACTTGCATATCTGCCAGACTGACCACTTGCTGTGAAGATGCATTTCATTTTTTGAATGCATTAAGTGATATAACAATTACAGATCAGAACTGCAGCTCACTTCTCACAGCAGCAGCCTATGACTTATATTCCAGTAATGCAAAGCCATTTTCCTGGATGAAGCAAGATGAGACCATCATCTGTGCTGACGAGAAACTAGAATTGCCCTTTTCTGAATTTTCACTGAGCTCAAATCTAAAGATAATTTCTTAAAGTACCTTAAAGTATTCTTTCATGAAGATTAAATGGGGATGCTTCATTATTTGTTAAAAGCAGAACGAGTATGACAATTACCTGCAGTCTACTATTATTGATTCTGTTTTTTATCAAATCTGCTGTTGGTTTCACATCCAAAACCCGGAAATGTTGGACAAAATGTCTTTGGTGGAAGTTAAAATTATGGGTTATGAGTAGTCATTAGTTACTGCCAACAGCAGTCTCATAGTCAGCTTAAGCATTTAGGGAAACTGCAGAGGTTTTCTCTGCCTTCACTATGCTACCCAACATCTTCCTTGTTACCGCTTTTTGACTGCATTTCTTGTTTTAAGAAGACAGAAGCTGGAGCCAGATGAGAAATGGTAGGCTGCCTTAGAGAAGAAAGATGAGAGCTACACATTACAGAGCTGAATTTCTCCACTCTGTGGTGCTGAGCTAAGAAACTGTCCATTCTGCACAGCCTAGGCTCAAGAAAAATCCCTCTACGTAGAAAAAAAGCAGCTATCAGACAAAATGGTGACAAGTAAGAAAACTAATTATATTTCTAAATTGACAAGCTATAGAAAACCCAAAACACTCCTCATATCTCTAGGTTGTGAATGATCCTAAGACATGGCATAGGGATAAGCAGGAACAGCAGGCAACTCTTGCTGCATGCCTGCATAAAACTGGAGAAAATCACATGCTATGGGGGAAGGGAGGTCTTGTTTTATCAGCGCCAGTGACAGAACAGGGCACCCCTCTCTGAACACAACTCGTCTCTGCATCTCTGTGCTGCTTCCTCAACACAGTATCTCCACACTGTCCTTGACTTAACCTCACACCAACAAATATCAATTTTCTTAGATTTAGAAACAAAATTTAATACTAATAACAATTTTCAAAGCATGCTGTTATTTCTGACCAAAAGAAAAAGTTTCATGATCATAAATTCCATCCTTTCATTCCACCCCTGTGCCATCAAGAGGCAATGCAGTTCTAGCATGTATGCTCCCAACACATATCTGTACTGTTATTTGCTGGGGCTGGGTTTTGCTTCACACTATTCCAGACTTCAGCATATAATTAAGAAGTCTGCTGTGGCAACATATCTGACTACAGACTGCCATTGAAATAATCCACATGACCTTCCTGTGCGTAAAAGTACGGAAATAACCCTGTAGTGAATAGTAGCATGAGCCAGCCAAGTAGGCTCAAAAAATAAAAATGAGAGCTTCTCAAAGGCAGAATTGGAAAGAACACATGGTTTTGGTTTGCATCTGGCATGGCCTTGTAAACATATATTCTTAGACTTCGGTTTAGATGGTCAAAAAAGTGATCACTGTGTCTACCTACTTCTCCTTTCACCTACTGCATCAAAGATAAAACCAATTTACTTTATGCATATTTGCTCCCTAAACTCTAATGAGATCTCTTGAAGACTGCAATATCCTGAAACCCCCTCACAACACACTTCCGTGAGTTACACATCACTTGAATTATCCCTGAAGTCACTACTAATGTCTCAGCCATGCTGAAAGTCATAATTACCAAAAACCAGCCTATTTTAGTATTGTGACAGGAGTTTAGTTATGAGCACACATATGCTTAATCAAGTAAGAAGGCAGCTCACATAAAGAGGATTATTTATAGAGTTGATTTTTGTGCCATGATATCTTATTAACTGTGGCTCCTTCAATGAAAAATGACACTGTTAGCCTGAAAGATTTCCCAGTTGATCTTGTACTAGCATAAGTTCTTTTTGGAGTCCATGCAGGGACATACCTGCATGACACACCACAAGTCAAAAGCGAGACAGTAAATACATATCACATCAGTCAGCATCACCTCTGCTAGATTTTAAGGCCATAATGAATCTTTTCTCTTCTCTCCTTTTGGGAGA